CCACTATTCATACTAATTCATTATTCTTCCCTAATTGTTTTCATCTGAATCTTTAATTTGAATTGTCATACTTTAGACTTTATATAATTTTCAATCTTTATTTTTGCTGATGGTACTGGGGATTGAATTTAGGCATCAGCAAACACTCTACAACTTGAGCCATACTCCAAGTCCTTTTGCTCTTGTGTTTGAGTCATGTCCAGGTCTGGCCATGGATTATTTTCCTACCTCTGCCTCGAATAGCTGAGATTACACTGTGCTTGTTTTTGAGAAAAGTCTGAGTAGCTGGGATTGAAAATGTTTCGAGTCAGGGTCTCACTAGGCCACTCTCAAGCTGCCCTTGAACTCACGGCAGTCGTCCTGCCTTGATATCCTGAGTGCAGGATTACAGGTGTGCTTTACCATGCTAAGCTCCCATTTTAGGACCTTTTTTTTTTTTTTTGGTCAGTCATGGGGCTTGAACTCAGGGTCTAGGTGCTATCCTTGAGCTCTTTTTTCAAGGCTAGGGCACTACCACTTTGAACCACAGCTCTACTTCTGGATTTCTGGTGGTTAATTGGACTTTCTTGCCTTGGCTGGTTCTGAACCAAGATCCTCAGATTTCAGCTTCCTGAACTGCTGGCATTGCAGGTGTAAGCCACCAGTGCCTGGCTACATCTTAGTGTTTGATAAGCTATCATTTTCAAATAATTTTTCTTTAACTCAGAGCTTTAATTTCACCAAGTCACATAAAGCCACAGAACTTGATAGAATGTCTTCTCAGAATTTTCTGATATATCTGATCTTTTATTTCAAAACTTTAGTCTTGAAGTATAGCTCGTGTTAGAATACTAGCCTAGTTCAATCACCAGTAACATAACACACACACTTATTTTGAAACAATTTTAGACTCAGAGGTCCTAAAAATACAAAGAATTTCTGTACATCCTCCCTTCAGATTTCCTCAATGTTTACTTTTGCTGTGTGTGCGTGTGCATGTGTGTGTGCGTGTGTGAATATATAAAACCTCCTGAAATCTGCAATTTTTTTTTTCTTTTTGGTTGGTTATGAGGTTTGAACTCTGGGCTTGGGTGCTGTCCCTGAGCGCTTCAGCTCAAGGCAAGCGCTTTACCACTTGAGCCACAGCACCACTTCCGGTTTTCTGGTGGTTTATTGGAGATAAAAGTCTCACAGACTTTCCTGCCCAAGCTGGCTTTGAACCGTGATCCTCAGATCTCAGCCTCCTGAGTAGCTAGGATTACAGGCACCAGTGCCTGGCTTGCAAATTCTTTAACCTCTATATTGTCTAAAATAAGGTTCTCCAGTAATCAGAATTATAAAAATAAGAACATTAATAAGTCTCTGTACATTTAACTAATATGTTCTTGATGTGGATCATATCAGTAATTTCCTGACACTGAGCCTTGCATGGCTTGAATTAACCTTATGTGAAAACAGGATACAGTTCAGCTTGATTTTTATTTGGAAAATTTGCATTTATAAACATAGGTGGGACTGGGTTAATCTTTTTTGGCACTTTAAAAACCAGATCCACTTAGTGGCTAGGTATGGTGAGATTCAGCACTTTTCAAGGCAGAGGAAGATGGATCAAGAGTTTGAGAGCCAGGCCAGCTGAGCTATAGTAGGACTCCGCCCATCCTTTTCTCTTTTTTTTTGTCAGTCATGGGGCTTGAACTCTGGGCCTAGGGGCTGTCCCTCAGCTCTTCAGCTCAAGGCTAGTGCCCTACCACTTGAGCCACAGCACCACTTCTGGTTTTCTGGTGGTTTATTGGAGATAAGAGTCTCACGGACTTTCCTGGCCTGCTGGCTTTGAGCCATGATCCTCAGATCTCAGCCTCCTGAGTAGCTAGGATTACAGGAGTGAGCCACCAGCGCCCAGCTCTCTGCCCATCCTTTTCTTTGTCTGAAGTTTATATACGTGTGGTGCCTAGTGCTAGGCAACTGCTGAACCGCTGTGCTATACCTTTGAGCTATACCTTTGGGTTGAGAACACAATCTTGACACAAGGTTTTACTTATGTAGGCCAGGCTGTCCTAGAACTCATGGCTCAGCCTTGAGTGCTGGGATTATAAGGATATACCACTATGCTTCCTACCAATCTCTCTTTTTGTGCCAGCACTGGGGCTTGAATTTAGGGTCTGGATGCTGTCCCTGAGCTGTTTTTGCTCAAGGCTATATTCTAGCACTTGAACTATAGCTCCAATTCCAGTTTTATGGTGGTTAATTGGAGCTAAGAGTCTCATGGCCTTTCCAGCCTAGGTTGGCTTTGAACTTTCTCTTGAGTAGCTAGGATTACAGGTGAACTATTCATGGTTGGTCTCAGGTAATTTTTTAAAATATAATTTTGCTATTAAAGTGATGAACAGAGGAGTTACCGTTTCAAAAGTCAGGTAATGGGGACAATTCTTTTTGGACAATGTCATCCTTTTACTTTCCCACGTTTCTCCTAATATCTGGCCTCTGATAATTAAAAAAAAAGTATCTTTTGTATAGTTTTTCTTCCTATTTTAGCTTCTCATTTTGATTGGCTCATTTTCTATTATCTTGAGATTTCAATAGTTGTTTTAGAAATTTAGGAGAAAAAAAATCACTACACACTTGTTTTTTGTTTTCTAGCTCATGCTGGCCTTGAACTTCAGCATTCCCTGCCTTAGCCTCCTGAGAGCCAGGATTACAGCTATCTACCATCATGTGTGGTGGCTAAGGTTTTTTCCTTTGGACAATGATAATATTTTTACATTTAAGCATGTACCACCACACCATGCCTGGTTTAAGATTTTCTCTTTGAACAATAAGGTTGTGGGGGGGAGGTGGGCGGGGCAGATGGAAAAAAAGGTTGTTATATTTAAGTCTTAGGACCCTCTAGGGTTCTGGGACTCAGAGCTCCAATCTTGTTTGGTCCCAATGTCTGGCCACAAGCACATGATAAATACAATCACCCTCCCCTACCCTCCCCCCTCAGCCCTGGGGCTTGGTCTCTGGGCCTAGAGCTTCTTTTGCTCCAAGCTAGCACTCTACCACTTGAGCCACAGCACCACTTCTGGCTTTTTCTGTTTATGTGGTACTGAGGAATCAAACCCAGAGCTTCATGCATGCTAGGCAAGCACTCTACCACTAAGCCACATTCCCAGCCCCATATATAAGTATTCTAAGCAAACAAATGACACTGTTCTGTCTCAGAGCCACTGTATAATGTATACAAGCTGCAGGTCCCCTGCCCCAAATCCATCCAAGTACTCCTGGGGCATCTATCAGTGCTGGCACTGGGAAAAACAAGCTCAGTGCTTCAGCATTTGGGCTCCTTGGAGCTTATATTCTACTGACAAAAACAGACATAGGGCAAGTGAGCTGAGCAATGCCAGGATGTGATGGAAGCACAGGAAATGGGTAAACATGACCTGGGAGGTCTGGCAAGGCAATTCTGGAAGAAGTAACTGTTACTTAGATCTTCAAGATCTAAGACTCAAAACTTCTAAGGGAAGTCTGCCTACCACAGAGAAGAGACAGCAGGAGAAAAATGCAGTGAAGGCTTATGGTCTTAGACTAGACGGTAGGCATCAATATGAACTCCTGGCTTTTACCAGTATTTAGAGGGACACACAAAACTCTGTATGTGTGTGTGTGTTAACATACACATTTATTTCCTGACTCAGTCTGCTCAGAGGCCCAGAAATAACAATGCTTAAGTATCAATGAGTGTATCTAATGTCCAGATCTTGCTTTCTAAGCAACAATAAGTCATTCGGCCTATTCAATAAAAGGAACTAGGATCTTCTGGGAGAAATGGGTGATGCCAGGGCAGGGAAAGGTGGGAGAACCTCAAACATCTTGAGGTGAAGAAGTGAGAAGATGTTCAAGAAATAATGGGAGCAGTGCTGAAAGAGTCCACACTAGCCAAATGTGGGGTAATCTGAGCAACAAAATGAACTGCTAGTACCAAATTATAACCCACCGAGTAACATTAGTATTTTCAAACTAATATAAATTACTGAATAGATAAAGGAAAAGGCTCTTCTTCATTGGAGGATACAAATGAATACAGATGCATAAGGAACAAGAAAGCCAGCATTAGATAAATACAACACATACACTTGAAAGCAAGAGCCACTGAGATATGAGACTTTGTAGGTTAGGTAATATACAACATTTAAACAGTTTCACACTGGGGATGTGGCTGGCTCAAGTAGGGGTGTGCCTGCCTAATAAGCTTGAGGACAAACCCCAGAGTAAGGTGAACAAAGAACAGCTTCAGTATCTCCCCAGATCAACCCAGGGCCTCATGAGCGCTACATGAACACTTGCAGCTTTCCAGTGGTAGATCTAGCACCCCCAGCTTACGTTGAGGGTCACATGAGCAGACTGGCTGCTGTGAGGCACCAAGGGCAGAGCCCCCCACCCCCAGTCTACACATGTGAACACACTGGACAAATCCAAATGGTGGGGGCAGGGGCCTTGCAGCACAACACGGACTCCTCAGCAGCACCATGGCCAGAGCAGACAGAAGGAACTGCCACAAGTGGATGGACACACTGAGGGGAACGTGACAATGTGTGCAGTATCGGGTGTCCTGGCTCCAATCTGGACCAGAGAAAGAACAAAAAGGGGAAAACTGGGCAAAATTCAAGTCCTGCATGTCAGCAGTACTGCCAGTATGTCATGTTCTGGTTTTCTCATTACAGTGTGGCTTTATGAAATGTTTGTCTTAGGAACTGGAGAAAGGTCTACAAAGACTCTACTATTTTTGTATTTTTTTTGGGTCGGTCGTGGAGCTTGAACTCTGGGCTTGGGAGCTGTCCCTGCTCTCTTCAGTTCAAGGTGAGCGCTCTACCTCTTGAGTCACAGCGCCACTTCCAGTGTTCTAGTAGTTTATTGGAGATAAGAGTCTCACGGACTTTCCTGCCTGGGCTGGCTTTGAACTGTCATCCTCAGATCTCAGCCTCCTGAATAGCTAGGATTACAGGCGTGAGTCACCAGCATTTGGCTATTTTTGTAATTTTCTATGTGTGATTTACTTTTTCTCCTCAAGGCTGGCATTCTATCACTTGAGCCAGACTCTTCCTGTCTATAGGCCATGTCCTGGATTCTGACTGCCCTGACCCTGTTCTGATAGTCTTCTTCCACACAAGGCACCAATTCCCTCCCATTCTCTGCTTTCTGAAAGATTAGCTGACACCACACAGAGTGGATGGAATGGTTAGCGGAGGCCACTGTGGGTGGTGTCCGGGGATGCACCAGGCCTTGCTGTGTCCTGCCTTCCTTATGGACCATGGTGTCCAAAACTGTTAACATAGTGGCTCCCTGAGCTGGGACGGCAGTTCAGACAGTACTGAGGCAGCTCAAGGGCCACCTGCGCAAATCCCGATCCACTGGCCACCCCCTCCTCTCCCCTTCCCTCCCCACTCCCACATGCCTGATAGCCCCTCAAAGTTGAGCTTACTGGGTCTTGTGGGACTGCTGTCTAGCAGCCGAGCAGCATGGGGTAACAACCTAGGCGGGCGGCTCAGGTACTCTAGGCTGGCCGCATCTCAGGGCTGGGGAAGCTCTGTGTGTCCCTTTGCCTCCGAATGTTAGGGCACAGCACAGAGGTAGCTAAAGACAAAATGAGAGAACTCTGTGCCTGCGCCTCTGTACTCAACTCCCCACTCCCATGACACCTGGGTCTTTACTACATGAGCAACAGCAAGGATGGTGTGTCCTGGCCTGGTCCGTCTTCTTCCAGCCAGATCTCGGCCTAGCTGCTGTACAGAGTATCTGGGAACATGATAGAGTGAGTTCCAGTGGCTTCAGGCACTAGAACCATGCAGAAGCACAGGTCAGGGACCTTGCTGTTCTTTGCTTGGAGGGCCAAGAAGTAGCTCCTCTCCTGGAGACTGGGGCTGCTACCCAATGGGCCAACAACCAAGATAGGAGAGGTCAGACGCACTCCACTGGGGCTGTGAGCAGGGCAGCAGCGCTTAGGGAAGGCACAGGGAAGGGAGGTCAGTTGCCATGCCACAGTGAGGGGCCTTTATTGGGTGTTCAGGGCACACACGGGCAGGTGGTAGCTAGATGGTGTGGCACACCTTCTCAGGATGGAGTGGTGCCCGGATGTCTAGTTTTCGGGTCTTGCTGTCCTTATCGATGATCTCCAGCCGCAGCTTGGGCAGACGCTTCTCAGCCTGGGGTGAGGGCATTTCAGGGCTCTTGAGCAGCTGCTTGTCTGAGTCCTCCACAGTGATGCGCAGGGTGCAGCCCCCTGGTAGCAGGTCCTGCTCATAGGCTGCTGCCAGCTGGTTGACCACACGGCGCTCTACCTGCAGGGGATGGAGGATGAATGACATGGTCATCACTGACTGGCCCGAACCTGGAGCTAGCCTCTGTCACTTGCTACTTGGACCCTTGTTTTGATCCCCAATGTGGCGTTAATGGTACTGAGCTTTCAGGATTAGGCTAAAGGCTCTAAATGTCCATTTCTGAAGTCTCCAGCCCAGTTCTTATTCCAGAAAGAGGTCATTCTTGGGTTACCCTTCAGACAGTGCTTTTAGTTGATCACCTTGTATTTTTGGTTCTGAAGTGGGAGTTTCAGCACCCAAATTATAGGCGGGCAGAGTAGGAGCTGAGGAATTGGGTCTCAGGGCACCAGTGAGGAGGGGTGGAGGTACCTATGATGCTAGTAATTGTGCTCACCTCGTGCTTGATGGAACGGGCACCATAGTGTACATTGTAGCCATCAACCAACACATCTGCCACCTCGCGGTCCCACAGCAATGTGATGTTGTGCCTTTGCTTGGCCTGAGACAGGTTAGAGAGAGGCCTGTTTGCATGGGGCCAGTGCTTCCATCTCTTACTGGCCTGAGGACTGGGCCTATGAGTGGTCGGGGCAGTGTCCCCAACCCTGGGGTGGGGGGGAGTCCATGTTCATGGAGGATTGTTCCCAGCCCAGAATTCATGTGTCTAGTGGACACATGTCCCAGCCCCTCCCATGGGCAGTCCCTTCTTACTCTCTTAGCCCAAAAGTTCAGTTCCTTGTTGACTAGCTGGATGAGCTCTGAGTGGCAGAAGGGAAGAAAGTAGACGATCTCATTGATCCTTCCTAGAAACTCATCCCTCCGGAAGTGAGCCTGCAGGGCCAGAGCAGTGGTGGGGTGAGAGAAGAGGAGGGAAATTTCCGGACCCCATTGGGGCTTATGCTTAGGATGGCTAAGTTCTCACCAAGAAGGACTCTTACTTTCAGGATGGGGCGGATCACATTCTCCTTGAAGTTCTTTGAGATGGTGATCTTGTCACTCATCTGGACGTCCCCTAAAGAAACGGAATCACAAACTGCTTTCTCCATGTACAAGGAGCTGTGCCTATGGCTTTGCTCCACCCATGGAGAAATCCTGGGCTCCAGTCCTGTTGTGATCTGAAGTTCTCTCGGCCTTAGCTTTTTTTTTATTTTATTTTATTTGTGAAGATACTGTACAGAGGGGTTACAATTACATGGGCAGGATAATGCGTACATTTCTTACCAAGCATTGCAGCCTCCTCCTTCGGCCTTAGCTTTTTAACTACTACTTTACTACTAATGTCCTTCTAGCTCTCATGTGTCATGAACCTGCAGTTCCTCAGTCAGATGCTGGGGCTCATAGGGAGAAGAGTCAAGCCTGGCAGGAAAAGGGCTGCAAGGGCTCATCCTGAGCAGAAAGGTGGCAGAGACAGCTTCTACATGATCCATTTTCCAGGGCCCACATACACAGGAAGCCAGCCAGCCACCTCCCTGCTCAAAAGACTGTCAAAGTACATCTAGTTTCTGACCTTCCATGCCCTCAGAGTCTCTACTGAGTGTACATCCTCAAAATACTTGAGTGGCTCTGTCACCTAGCAGGTTTGTACACAGAATGGGTACTATCTTCTTGAGAAAGGGGAACACTTGTCTGTCCCCTCCACTCTCTAGTATGGTGCCTGGTGTCTGCTCTAGGACCTCACCTGAGCCCAAGACACTAAAAGCATCTGTCCCCAGGAGGCTGGGGGCCCAATCACTTGCTGAGACAGCTCAGGTCATACACCTTACCAAGGTTTTCGGCAATGCGGTTACGGCTCAACTCCAAAGCTTCTTGCCTCAGCTGTAGCGCATGCTGTGCAATCTCTTCACTGGCCACATTGGAGGTCATGATGAAGATGGCGTCCTTACAGTCAATGGTCTTCCCCTTCCCATCTGTCAGCCGGCCCTGATAAAGATTGGGGATGCACGTCAGGGATCTGTGGCTGAGCAAGCTCAGCACTCGTGGTACACACATTCTCCAGGACAAATGCCCAAATCCTTCTATACTGTTGCCCCTGGCTACAGGATGCATCCTAGACCCAACAGCTCTACTGACAGAGTTCTCCACATGACACAGCAACTGTACTTGGTACTACCTCAGGGTGCACAGTGATCTCCATTGTCCAAAGGACAGTCAGAGGCCTTACCCAAGATACTATCTTCAAGGCTTATACTAGGTGGGACTCTGGGTTGGGGTACTGGGATGTCACTTGAGCCTTCATCACAGTTCTAGTCTAGAGGGGCAGCAAGACCCAAGTAATGAGCAGTGCCAATGATGATGAAGGGAAGCTGTTTTCTGCAGGAGTTCAGAGGACAGTACATGAGCGGGTGATTGTGAAGACCAGATGTGGTTGGGCTGGTGAACGAGCTTCAGGAAGCAAGTACAAATGGCCAGAGTGGTTATTAGTGTAGCAGATGACATGGAAGAAAATACAGCTTGAAGCCATCCTCCATCCTGACAGGGATAAAGTCTAGACAAGACTCAGGAAAAGGCATCTAGGGCGTGGACAGGAGCACACAGAAGGAAAGGGAACACACAGCAGAGGGAGAGACAGAAGAATTATACAAGTATAACATTTTGGCTAGGCACTGGTGGCTCATGCCTGTAATCCCAGCTACTCAGGAGGCTGAGATCGAGGATCACTGTTCAAGCCAGCCCGGGCAGGATAAAGTCTGTGAGACTCATCTCCAATTAACCACCAGAAAGCCAGAAGTAGTGCTGTAGCTCAAGAGCTGAAGAGCTCAGGGACAGCGCTCAGGCCCTGAGGTCAAGCCCCAGAAACTAAGGTGCAGAGGTCTAGTACTTTGTTCAGGTCTCTGATTGGTCCCAGAACCATTCCTTTCCCACTGTACCAGGCTACAAAGGGTAGTCCAGTGGTGCCTCATGCCATTTTCTTTCCCTATTATGGTATTTTCTCAGAATCAGGCTAAATGCAGTCTGCATCCTTTGCAGACTTTGGGAAGGATGGGAGAGAGCACCTTCCTAGGCTGTCTGGGACAGGGGCAGAGCCAAAAGACATACTCTGAGGTAGACCACTGAGCAATTGCTGGCTTTTGCTTGACCGTGCCAGCGGTGCTGGGCCCTGCCCAGGCCTTACTCAGTCATGTACTATCTCTCAAACCTTCCCCTTCCCTGATGGCACGGGCCTGACTCTGGGTCGGCCTTGGCGTCCATAGTCCATGCATCAACAAGGCCAGTTCCACCACAGAGGTGGGCAAGGAGGGAGAATAGCTGAGCAGCTCCTGAGCACTAGGTATGTTTTCCAGCCCTGTTTTACCAGCACCTTTGGCCTAGGTCTGTCCCTGCCTTGAGGTGATAAAAGGAGAAGCAGGTGCAAGTAGATGCCTTGAGCTTCTGGCCCCAGCTCTCCATTCTCACCCCTGCTTATAAACTCTCCCATAACAGAACTCACTGGGGGCAGGTCTAGTTTGGGGCACTGTTTGGGTGCTATGTGATGTGCCTGGGCATGGGCATATGGCATAGTATGCATCCATACCAACCTCACACAGGTGATCTCCAAGGACCAAGTTCACACACTGCCATCCTGGACAGAGCAATAACTTAGCAGCAATTTCATTCTACAAGATCAAGGCTCTGCTCATAACTGGGCTCCAGGATGGGTCCCAGGTGGATGAGGGGAGCAGGTGCAGTGCATGACTGACCCAAAGGATGACTTTCAGTGCTCGTGTCTCTTTCTCAGTTTCCTTGGCAATTAACACGTGTTCCTCTCCCTCCTGCCACCAGCAACCAGTGTGGACATTGGGGGTGGGGCCTGAATGCTCACCCAGGGTTAGGGGGCTGCTTACCCACTGTCTCACGTGTGAAGAATTAAAGGGAAACGAGAGGGTGGAATCTCAGGGGGCCAGTCTTTTACTTAGTACTTCTGTGCTGGGCTGCTGGCTCTGGAGTCGAGCAGAAGTTGACCCAGCCATGGTGCTGTGTGATAGTTTGGTGAGGGGCCCAGGGACTTCCTGCATGGGAATGCACTTGTAATTAACTGCTTCAGGCCTGAGGTGCATGCAGTTTCTACCTCGGAAGATGGAACCAGTTTCTAGCTGCCAGTCTGCCCCTGTCATCCTTGGGCACTGTCCCTTTTCTTGCTTAAGACTAGCTCTTTACCACTTGAACTATACCTCTATTTAGCTTCTTGAATTGTGACTTTCAGTCAGATGCTTCCTAGGCCACTCCAAAATGGATGTAACTTTTGGGCATCTCCATTAGGAACTTTGAGCAATCCTAAACCTCAGGGCCTCCTTCCTTCTCTACATCGTTGCCTGTAGCATCTTGTGAAATTAAACCAAGGGCCTGTTACTTGCTTTAAGTCTGACATTTGTTCCTTACTGCTTCCTCCTGCCTTGAGCTTCCTAGTGCTGGGCTAACAGGTGTACAACACTACAACTGGCATTGCTTTCCCTCTCTTGGGAGTCAATGATGCCACTAGCGGTACCTGTTCAGGGAGGCCAAAGGCCACAGAGACTGCTGGGCTCACCTCCGTGGAGCCAAGTTTTCCCCTTCTGTGTGCTTCCTTGCAGACTGGCCTTGCTCTTTTGCCCTTGTTACATGGTTGTCATTTAAACTATAGGCTCTAGGAAAGAGCACCCTGGGTTAGAATCCTCAATTCTGCCTTCCCAGCTGTGTGACCACATGCAGATTACTCTTGCTTCATTAATTTAAGTGTCCACATATTAGATGGAGACAGTAATCAAAACTACCTCATTCCTTTAGAGGGGCTTTGGGACAGTGGGATGATACATATACATTTCTAAGAAGTGTGTGGCATATGAAATTCAAAATTACCATCACGTCTCCTAAGCAGAAGCAGGGTTGGATGTAGTCCACAGCTGTGTACTTGGTCCTCAGAGTACCTAAGGAACTGCATGCGTAAGCTCTGAAGGACCAGCCAGCATACTACATCTACCAGGTGACTGAGTGCACACACTGGGGCGGGGGGAATAGGAAGCCATGAGAAGATCAGACAGCCACTGATAACATCATGTATCCTCCACATGGCCAGGCTTTACCTCATCAAACAGCTGCAGCATGATGGTGAGCACATCCGGGTGGGCCTTGTCCACTTCATCGAAGAGCACCACAGCATTGGGGCACTGCTTCAACTTTTTGGTCAGCTGGCCACCCTCCTCGTGGCCAATGTAGCCTGGTGGAGACCCAATAAACTTGGCCACCTTGTGGAAGGAAGGAAATATGCTAGGAAGTTCTTTCTGTGGAAAGATGGCTTTATAAACTATTAAGACTGCCTGTTTAAACAAGGACTCTGGCTGTTTCCTTCTTGGTGTGGAGGAATCTTGCCATTTCTTCATGGGAAGGCAGGCAGAGCTAGTATCCCTCTAGACTCCAGAGTAAATCCTTTGCAACATGTGTCAGTGACCCTGTTGCATGTCTCTTGGTTCCTCCCTCTCCTCCCAGGACATAATCCCAGGGATGCTGGAATCATTAGAAGCCCCATCCTACAAAATGCTAAGGTGGTTATGTTGACAGGACTTCCAAACCGTAATTCCGGAGAATAGTCTCTCACCTCGTGTCGCTCCTGGAACTCAGACATGTCCAGCCGGATGAAGCCCTGTGTGGAAACAAGCAGGTTGTAAGTCTGTGTGGAGGTAGGAGGTACGGGAAGGGCACAGAAGGGAGCACCCCACTATCCCTGCTTGGGCCTTTGGGCCACACCAATCTGAGCTGCTTTATATCAAATCCTCATTATACATTTTTCCTGGTCCTTGCTCTTCTGCCTTTTCATCCTTCCTTCAACTCCCTCTCCCTTAACTCCCTGCCCCCCCCGCCCCCCGGACATTAATTCTCTTGTTCTCAACTGTAATAAAGTAAATTATGTCTCTTCTCTTCTGTATGTGATTCAGGTGTCCCTTCCTTCAGGTAGGCTTCTACTGCTCAGATCACTCCACTTTCTAGAGGGCATTCTGTGTGTGCCAGGTTACAACTGTGAACTACTTGGCTTCTGTTCATAAGCATCTCATCCTGAGTGCTGTCAATCACGGACAAAGTCAGCACTAGCAATGTGGCTGGCAGTGACATGGACGGGAAGGTTCCACAGTGCCCTTAACCTTCCAAGTCTGTGGGACCAACATCCCTTTGCTTTAGTTTGCTTATTTGTTTGATTTCTTCATTCCACTTAAATTTCACTTAAAGATTTATTTATAATGTGGCCATCCTCTCTCCACAACTGGGTTTTAGGGTGATTTCCAGGGAAGCAGCATGTGATTTGAAGAGTTTAATACAAGCGAAGTGCCCTTCCATTTCATAGAGAGCTAGTTCAAGGGGCTGTGAAGGTATCCACATGTGCCCTGGCTATTCAGTAGTGAGGTTCTAGTCTTATTGGCACATGCTGCCATCTGAGAGATAGCCCTTACTGAATCCTCTTGCTCCTGAGAGCTGTGTGTGACATGTCACCAAGACTGTCCAAGGAAGGCAGACACTTATGTCTGAAATGTAGGGCTCAGCTAGTGTCCAAAAGGCAATCAGAGATGTAGCTTTTAATTTTTTGTCTGTTCTGTCACTCTATACCCATGGTACAGGCAGGTGGGAAGAGCCTGGGCTGGGAGTCAGGGAGCTTGGCTTTCAGTCTCAGTTCTGCACTGCCTGTGTGGCTCTGGCCATGCTACCTACCCCCTTGAATTAGTTTCTTCCTGTGCAACACAAGGCTCTGGGAGCCTGCAGACCTAATCCGAAAGGTAAGGAAGGACTTAGGTAATTAAGGGCACATGATGGAGAAGCACTGCTATCAGTGCATGGGGCATGACCCAGCATTTCTTGAGGGTCCCTCTACAGCTCAGCCATGAGACACTAAAGGCTTCTACAAGGGTAGAAGATGGGCATGAAAAAGTTTGGAGCGCTGTCCAGAGGGAGCAATGGAAGTCACAGACAAATCTGACAGGTAAGAGCTGTCAATCAGTGTTGCTCACTATGTTTCTACCAATGTTTTAAGCAAGCTGTAAAGCAGGGATAGGAATGCCCAGCCCATGTCTAAGACTGGTGACATAATTTAGTACATGATGGGCTAGATGTGTATGCTTCTCACCAGCTACTTCTGGCCATATGTCTATACTGATAATTTTGTATGGCCTGCAAATGATGTTAGAAATAGTCATATAGCTCTTGACAGAGAAAAGGCTTCTTACCCTTCTACAAAAAGCTTGGATCAAAACTGGGAGAGAGCAAGGGAAGGGGTGACATTATCCAAACAGAAATGTACTCTTTACCTGACATATAACTGTGTATATCACCTTTATTATAACAATAACAATATTTTTTTTTAAAAAGCTTAGATCAAGTACAAGTCTGTGAGGTAAGTACTATTATTCCCAGTTTACAGATGAGGACACGAAGTCATAGATTATGATGTCATGCGGGCTTGGCCATGAGGCTCCATGTCCAAGGAGTATAGATTCTACTGCTTACTGATGGCATGTGACTTGACTTCTCACCCTACTTCTCCTAGAGACTTGCAGTATAGATTTGGATAACTCTTTGGGCTTGGTTTTCTGCACTGGAATCATTGTGTACTTACAATGTGAGCTAATGACAATTCTAGGAATAGAAAATGTGGATAATTACCTATTTATGCACTAAGAAGGGTACTTAACATTTTCCATCATTAACTTCACTTAATCTTCCTAACAATCCAATGAGACATTATAAAAATTATTTCAGAAATAAGGAAAATGATGTAACCAGAAGCAGATGCCAATCTTACCGAGTAGGACAGAGCTGGCACTACCACTGTAGCTGCTAGCCTGCCTCATGACCACCTCACATAACAACATTAAACTTCTTTTCAAGGACTATTTCCACTGTGGGTTTGAACTTAGGACATTTGAGCTTGTTGGGTACATGCTCTACCATTGAGTACATCTCCAGCCCTCAAGGACTATTAACTCTACTTAGTGATGTTAACAAAGCTGTTCAATCTGGGAAAAATGGTACAGAGATTGAGAGAAAAAAAATCTCATAATTTAAAAAAAAAACGGTGCAAAGGCCAGGCGCTGGTGGCTCACACCTGTAATCCTAGCCACTCAGGAGGCTGAGATCTGAGGATCATGGTTCAAAATCAGCCTGGGCAGGAAAGTCTGTGAAACTCTTATCTCCAATAAACCACTCAAAACTGGAAGTGGCGCTGGGGCAAGTGATACAGTGTTCACCTTGAGCTGAAGAGCTGTGTAATAGTGCCCAGACGCAGAGTTCAAGCCCCAGGACTGGAAAAAAAAAAGTGCAAAGAATGTGTTGGGGGAGGTTTGAAGTTATCAGTCTCTTTACAAATGAGGAAACTAAGGATCAGAGCCAGAACTAGGATACAAGTCAGTAGACTCTTGCAAGTGCTCATTTCACTTCACGAGTATCTTGGAGGCAAATGAAAGGGAGCCCCTATTTGATAAGAGCTTGATAAGAGTTCTGAACCTGACAATTTCCTCACATACTCCTTGGGTCCTGGAAGTATCACATGCACAGATTTACACAGCTTACAGTCCAGGAGATATTGAAGGGAAGGCCCAAATCTGGCCAAAATTACCTTTTAAACATATTCTGAAGTGAGCTGTCCCACAGGCCTGCAAAAGTAGAAGCTTTACAGAGGACTCGCCCATAATTTAAAGATTTACTTATTGGGCTGGGAAGGTGGCTCAGTGGTAGAGCATTTGCCTTGCATGCATGAGGCCCTGGGTTCGATTCCTCAGCAATACATAAGCAAAAAGAAAAAAGTTGGAAGTGGCGCTGTGGCTTAAGTGGTAGAGCACTAGCCTTGAGCTGAAGAGCTGAGGGACAGCGCCCAGGCCCAGAGTTCAGGCCCCACGACAGGACTCCAAAAAAAAAAAAAAAAAAGATTTACTTATTTTTGGTGGGGGAGGGGAGCTGGCATGCCTCCTATCTCCCTATGTAAAATGGACAAACTGACAAGTTTGCAATGTAGCCTCCTTGAGCAGCTGTGAACAAAGGTATTGAGAGAGAGTTGAAGACTGGATTTTGTTGTTGTTGTTGTTAGTCATGGGGCTTGAACTCTGGGCCTGGACCCTGTCCCTAGGCTATTCAGCTCAAGGCGAGCACTCTACCACTTGAGCTATAGGGCCACTTCAGTTTTCAGTTTTCATGGACTTTCCTGCCTGGGCTGACTCTGAACCTTGATCCTCAGATCTCAGCCTCCTTAGTAGCTAGGATTACAGGCATGAGCTACTGGTACCCAGTGCAAGACAGGATTTTGATTTTACTTTGTCCCTAAGAAGTGGCATGGTCAAGACTATGCTATAGGGCCTCAGTTTTCTCATCTGGAAAGTGGGTCTAGGTGAGCATCTGTGCTACAGTTCCTCACAAAATCAGTAGGAGTGGAAGATGCACTGCTATGGAGTGAAGAATAGCACATGTCAACTGAGATGGCATTCATTGAGTGCTAGGGCCCAAGAGAGCCACAACTCCTATGGTCTCCACCATAATCCCTGCTGCAGAACTGCATAGCTTTAACTAAAGCAAGAGAGCTGAAATTTCTAGGGTAGATGCCTGTCTGGGCCAGGAGAAAGCAGAAATGGAACTTGAGTCAAGAAAAGGCTGGCTCCAGAGATTTTGCCCAGGACAGCTTGCTGTCTCCAACAGAGGGTGAGGGCAGGTGATGGTGCTCCTTCCTTCTGGGTGAGTTGTGGAGAAAGTAAGCCATCATTGTGCCTGTGGGACCCCTGCCCTAGGGAAATGTCTCCCATTCAGATGCACCAACTAAAAAATTACTTGCATCATCAGTCTTTTCCAAGTCCCTCTCCTTTCCACACCAGCAAGTCAGCAGATATTTTCCTTCTACTTCCACAGTGGATGAAGACATATTAAGACAGCTTGGATAAGGAGATTATAATTTGTAATTAAATATTAACCTTTCTGACAGTATTAAAATTAAACCACTCCAAATTCTTCATCCCTAATCAGGTGGTTCCTGCCCGTAACTGCATCTTCCCTAATAGTCTTGCTAGTTTATGGCCCTTTCCAGAGTGCTAATTGTTTCAATCGCTGCCAACCTGATGAATTGTCTTCCAAATGCTGTTCGCTATTTGGTTGAAGCACATTAGCATGCTATGTGCTGTTGCTTGCTTGCTTGCCTGCTTGCCTGCCTGCCTGCCTGCCTGCCTGCCTGCCTACCTACCAAGTGGGTCTGCTCTGCCTTAGGCTGAGGCAAAAGCAAAGTACTGGCATAGTCTAGCAGGCTTGAGAAACTTCTTCCAGTTCTTAGGTAGGAAGCAGCTCAGGAGACTCAACCTTATCTTCCTTGTTACTGTGGTGGCTAGGATCTTGGGGAAGTGGCAAGCAGAACACAAGGCTAGCAGTGTGTGGCTGGGCCACTGGACCTACAGAGTCCTAAGCAACTCCATGGTACTTCATTGGGGTGGTTAGAAAGACTTTCTATAGGAATTAGGCAAGCATACCGAGGTTCTCAGCTGGTGGTAGGGCAAGGGACCTTAGCTTCTATACTGGGAAGGCCAGTAAGAGGTAGTTAGCTTTTCTTGAAATGTTTCACATTCTTTCTTTCTAAAGCAGTGCCTATTAGCTTAAAGTCAAATTGAAAGGACCTTGGAAAGACGAGTGTAAACAAATGGGATGGAGTGGCCCTTTCTGGAAGAATTCAGGACTCTGAGCTATAGGAAAGAGTACTATAAACAGCCCAAACAGAAGACACAAGACACCAGGTTTAAAAGCTCAGGCAGGAGAGACAGAAGCAACAGGCATTCCCTATTCCTACTTGTTTTCTCTGACAGCCCCATGGTCTCTTTTAAGTAGTCCTGCCTGCTCTGGACAGCTGTTCTGCCTAAACCCCAGGCTTTAAGCCTTTACTGTAAAGCAGCCCTCACTAAAGGCTGCTTTAATGGTTAGTGCATCTAGCACAGTGCCTGACAAAGGGCAAGTATTGGATAAATTGCAATGGATTCTCCCAAGAGCTCCAAGAGTTAGCCAGGTAGAGGATGATTATTCTGACTGCACAGATATGGACATGAAGGCACAAAGAGGTTGCATAGCCGGGCGCTGGTGTCTCACACCTGTGATCTTAGCTACTCAGGAGGCTGAGATCTAAGGATCATGATTTAAAGGCAGCCCGGGCAGGAAAGTCTGTGAGACTCTTATCTCCAATAAACCACTCAGAAAACTGGAAGTGACGCTGTGGCAAGTGGTAGAGCACTAGCCTTGAGCTGAAGAGCTGAGGGACAGAGACCATGCCCAGAGTTCAAGCCCCACGACCAACAAAAAAAAAGAGGTTGGACAACATGCCTAAATTCCTGGAATGATAGATGGCAAAAGCTGAGGTTGCTTTCTAGGTCAGGGACCATCTTTCTGACTGGCTTACCACCAGATTCAGAGAGCCTGGGATTTTGATGCCAGAACATAGCAAGGTCTCCCTCTATGGCTAGAAAATGGGCTTTGGGCCTAGCTCTTACCTTTTTGGCATCTTTGTGCATATACTTGGCTGTCTGCTTGGCCAGTTCTGTTTTTCCTAATAAGAAAGAAGGGAGAAGTGGGTTAGGACCAGAGGACTATCTGCTGGAGTAAAAGAACACTAGCTATGTGGGGGTATTGGAAAGCATGTATTTTATGGATGGAATGCTGAGGCTCAGAGACTGTCCCAGAATCACACAGGGAATGAACAGTGAAGATGGGACCTGAGTCAAAGTCAGCATTGCATCTGAATTTGTGTGTGTGTGTGTGTGTGTGAAGGGACCGAGGCCTTTTCTCTGTATTAGCATCCAAACAGCAGGGCTGGCTGTTATAATACACAACCAGATGATCCTTTGAGGATCAGGGTCTTCCCAGGAGTGCCTCACTGCCTTACATTTCTCTCAATTCCCTCATCAACCAGGCCTTGCCATTAAGCCAGGCCCTGGAACTGCCAAGTAGGGGCTGGGAAGGATGAGTACCTTCCAGCCAGGTATGGTGGTACACACTAGTGATCTCAGCACTTTGGAAGGTAGAGGTAGGAAGACTGTTGAGTTTGAGGCCAGGCTGGGATGAATAAGACTGTCTCAAACATCAAGTGAGAGTAACTTCCACTGGCTGTGAAGTCTTTGTGACAAAGAAGGAATGACAGTGCCAGTGGTCATTTGGAATGATGGTAAAAGTCCCTGCAAGTCACTGTACAGTATATACAGTAGCATGGTCATGGGTTCGTAACCTACTGGGATTTGACATCTAAAGGAGAGCTAGGTTCATGAAGGTGTTAGTGGCAGCAGCCAACCCTCAAAATCCTCTTTAAGACAATAGTGGTGGGTGAGAGTAGAAGAGAAGGGGTCTATGAAGACAGAGAATGCCTTGGAAAACCTGGCCAGACTTGTTAGAAAAACACGCAATCTATTTTACTGTGACCAGTTCTATTGTACGCCTGGCATGGTGCTTGTCACAGGGGCTTCTTTTTAACCTTCCTAAAACTTGGCTGCCCTGAATGAAGCTAGTGCACTCAGCAGTGGAGGTGTTTCAGTGTTCTCAGAGGGCAGGCTTAAGGGTGCAGAGCACCTGGACCTGGGCTAACAGTCCCTAAAAATCAGTTCCTCCAGGTAAATTAGCTCTCACACCAGAGCTTCTCTTGTTCAGTTGCCTTTCTTGGTGACTATGCAACTAGGAGGCAGTTTGCTTCTGCAGCTGAAGTGAGGTGGGTGGTGACCCCTGGCCCACAGCAGCTGGGGATGTTAGGCTCATCAGGCAAGGCACTCCCCGGCTCTCCTTCCCCACTGGCTGATTGTTGCCAATTACCTATTCCAGATGATCCCAAGAAGAGGAAGACCAGAGGGTGTTCTTCATCGTACCAGCCATTCTCTTTCCTCCGGATTGCTATGGTCAAACACACAACACAGGGGGACAGGGAGGGAGGCAGATAAATCAATGACACAAAAGGCAGGATAATTATCACTAAGTATACAATATGTTTTACTGCTCTGCGCCCACTCAAAGTCCTCACTACCATTAGTGCTGCCTAATCTGATTAGTTGGCAAGGGCCCTAGAGACACCTAATCAGGTTAGCATGGATTTGGAAAGCTGCCCAGAGCAGATTTCGGATAAAGTTTTCCAGGATGAGCACTCAGCGTTGCCAGGGAAACTGAAAGGCGGGTGGATGGTGAATGGAGGTGAAGCGGGTAGAGGATTGGTGAAGGAGAAATTGGAGAGAAACTTTAGCTCTGGCTAGTTACCCCTCCACTCACTATGCATGTGGAGAGAAAGAAACCCATGGCAGGTCTTGGGGACCTGGGGTATGCACTTTGTGCTTCTTCCCATTTGGGGAAACCAAGTCTGGTCTGCTGTCTGGATTAGGAAGTGAAAACAGCCAAATGTATTTTCTGTAGTGTGAAGCTTGATGCATGGGAGGGGAAGTGTCACATGGTTAACCTTTCTGTTAACCATGGCCTCCAGTGGGGGTGGGGTATGAGGAAGGGAACTGTACTGGGTCCCCCTGGGGTTCAAACTCTGCTGTAGGAAGCCTTAATTGTTCTTCAAGAGGAGAAACTGGTCAAGGGTCACTCAAGGCTAGGAAACTCCATGGCGGACTATCAAGTAGGAGAATTAGACTTAGAAGCTTTGCTCAAGTGACACAAAACCAGAAGCGTCATGTGCTAGATTTAGTTGGAAAATCTACCAACAATGTATTTAATTCAGTACCTACACCCAGACACTCAGAGGGGGACGTATTCTCAGCATTCTATCTCAGTATTCTATTATACTGAACAGGAAACTGAGGCATCATAGTTACACAAATAATAATTGTAGAGTTACCTTTTCTAAACCTCACTTTCTTTTTGTTTTGATTGTGGGGCTTGCACTCAGGGCCTGGGCACTGTCCCTGAGCTTTTTAACTCAAGGTTAGCACTCTACCACTTTAAGCCATAGCACCACTCCTGGTTTTCTGGTGGTTAATTGGACATAAGAGTCTCTCAGCCTTTCCTGCCTGGGATGGCTTCGAACTGTGACTCTCAGATCTCAGCCAAACAGAGTAGTTAGGATTATAGCCATGAGTCACTGGTGCCTGGCTCACATACTGTTTCTTTAGCAAGTGAATATCCATGTGGGTTGCATTAATGGAAACATGACTGTCAGGAGCAGGAAAAGGATGGAAGAGCACTGTGCAATGTCAAGGCTGTGTGCAGATGTAACTTACATGTCTGGTCCGGTCCCCAGAGTGTCAGGGGAAATTAGCCAAGGGACATCTGTCAGTGGACAAGGCCTGAAGATTTATTCAATGGAGAAATAATTGACAATCTTAGTTTGTATCTGCCAGTTTTGAGGAGATAGCTCCTAAACACTACATTGTGGGACTGGGCTTCCAAGAAGCAGCTGCAGGGGCCATGGATAGCTCTTTGGAAAAGGCATGTTTGATGATAGATCATGGAAGCTAAGATGGATTTGGGACAGATGGCCGGCAGGACAGAGGTGCAAAAACTGTTCACTATGATTGGGAATGTGGTTTAGTGGTAGAGTGCTTGTCTAGCCTGCATGAAGCCCTGGATTCAATTCCTCAGTATAACATAAACAGAAGAAGCCAGAAGTGGTGCTGTGGGCTCAAGTGGTAGAGTGCTAGCCTTGAGCAAAAGATGCTCAGGGACAGTGCTGAGGTCCTGAGTTCAAGCCCCAGGCCTGGCAAAAACAAAACAGAAAACTGCTCACTATCTGAGGAATGGTAGGTAGGATGAAATTAGAAGGGCCTGGACCTTTCTTGTCTCAATCTCTAATGTTGCCACTTTTCTACTCTCTTGAACCAGATGGAAACTGCAACCTCACGGATGTAAAGGTGGCCATTCTGACCATCCAGATATTCTCTAAACTTATGAAGAGGCATGGGAAAACATGGAGTCTTCTTCCTTGGGCTAGGATCCAGATTTCTAAGTAACCGGAGATGCTCTGGAAGGGCTAGCTATGTGTGGAACTCACTGACTTCATAGGTACCTGAAAAATGAAGACTAAGTGAGAAAAGCTCAAGCCTGTTTGAAGGGGTCCTGACAAAAGGAGCTAAGGCTGAACATATTTGGGGGAAATGGAGGTTATTAAAAATGGCAAAAACTAGGCTTTTGTGGATACTGTGTAAAAATGTGTGTGAGTTGGAGCAGGGAGAAGAATCTCCCAAAAGAAGCTACAATATTCCAAAAATTAGCTAAATTTAGAGTTTAGGTTGGAAAGAGCTGAGTTCAGGCTTCATGGAGCACCCAGCATCACTCAGGTGTCCTGGGAACAGTGATCATTATTTACATGAGGGTTTTTGTTTTCCTGGTGCCAGTGCTGGGGCTTGACTTCTGAGTTAGATGCTCTCAACTTAGCCTTTTAAATCACAGCTGGTGCTCTACCCTATGCTTCCATGTTGGCTTGTTTGCTTATTTTGAGATGAGTCTCATTATTATTCTGTCTGGGCTAGCTTCCCGCCTTGATCCTCAGATCTCAGGCTCCTGAGTAGCTAAAATGATAGGCATGAGCCCCCAGTGATTTGATCTTGGCTTTTCTTTTGGGGTAGCATCCCAGCCCAAGAACTGAACATTGCAGGACTGTGTAATACAAAAAACACCATGGAGAATGTGGAATTGAATTACCCTGGGGCCATCTTTTCCCCCTTTTCTAATAATGCACCTGGGAGAGAACTCTTTATAATGCCAGGCAGACTCTACTGCACAGCTGTCCCTGGTCAATTCTGCCAGAACCAGGGCATGAGTCTGGGGGTGGGTTTGATTTGGTCTTCCATGAAACAGACGAAATGCCAACCATTAAGCAATTACAACTCTGGATATTTCTAATAACGTCTGAAGAGAAAAACGGCCAAGCAGATGGAGTCCGACAGAATGAAAAATGGAAGCAGCGAGGAAGGACTGGAGAAAGAAAGTTAGCCCCAGGGTGTGTGGCTGACAGGATAGCCAAGGACCAAGGTTTGGGAGCCTAGAAGGTCCTATCAAGCCAGGGTAGAGGCTGAGACAGGTGGCTGTAAGTGCTGATCCTCTCTGTGTGGGCCAGCAAACATGCAAGTTACTTTATCAGCACTGTACATACAGTCTCTAGAGAAACCCTAATTTCCTATCAGCCTCATTAGGACAGTAAGAGGCAAGTAGGAAAGAGCACTCGATTCTCATTTTATAGATGAGAAAATATGTACAAGGAAGGTAGGATGCTCATCCTTTGACCTTGTCCTTACCACTGCTTGTAGGTTACAAATGCTGCGAGGGCCCTCTGGGTGCACAGCTCAGTCCGCTCCCCTATCTGGCCCTGCTCTGGCAAGTTCTGACCAGGCTCCTTTGCCTTCCATATGCTTCTGCCACAATGGCACCATCTGAAAATTCACCTGCAGCAACTTATGATTCATTCCACCTCAGTACATCTACCCTATTAATTCATGGGCCTGTATACTCCAGGACATGTTCATTTCCAAACTGGTCTGGGGGTGGCCACAATAGGAGTTAGGCTAGGTGGAGTCCTGCCTCTGTCACTAGTTGACTGACTTTGAATAAAACATCTATTCTTTTAGAGCCAGTTTCCTCATCTGCCAAATGGAAGGAAATAGGAACATACATTCTGTATCAAGCCCACATAAAGAGAGATGAGTTAATGTTCACCAAAACATTTTGTATTTTGTAATCTGTAAAATGGAATGATAATAAGTAAAAGTAATGAAAAAAAATTTTTTTTGGGTCTAGTTGTGGGGCCTGAACTCTGGGCCTGGGCACTGTCCCTCAGCTCTTCAGCTCAAGGCTAGCACTCTACCACTTGAGCCATAGAGCCACTTCCAGCTTTTTTCTTTTTGCTTATGTGGTGTTGAGGAATCGAACCCAGGGCCTCAAGCACGCAAGGCAAGTGCTCTACCACTGAGCCACCTTCCCAGCCCCTGAAAATATTCTTCCCAAGTGTTTAAATATTTCAAAACAAGGATATATTTTAAAATAAACTTTACATACTCAGTTCTCAGTTGTCCAAGGCCAACAATCAAGTCAATCTCCTGTGTACCTTGGATCACTATCACCACCATGCCCAACTTATTGACTATTTGCCCAGGCTGGCTCAGAACTGTGATCTGATCTCCACAGCCTTAAGATTAAAATATTTTATTGATGTACATTTTTTTTTTGGGTCCGGTTGTGGGGCCTGAACTCTGGGCCTGAGCGCTGTCCCTCAGCTCTTCAGCTCAAGGCTAGCACTCTATCACTTGAGCCACAGCGCCACTTCCGCCTTTTTTCTTATGTGGTGCTGAGGAATCGAACCCAGGGCCTCAGGCATGCAAGGCAAGCACTCTACCACTGAGCCAACTTCCCAGCCCCAGGGGTTTTTTGTTTCTTATAAAGGTGATATACAGAGAATTTTATTTTCTTTTAGAGCCTGAGTCTCTCTATGTAGCTCAGGCCTCCAAATGCTGGGATTATAATCATGCACCACCATACCTAGGTTAAGTTTGGTTAATTTTAGATATAACTCTATCTCAATTTGACATATAACATAGGCTCAAAGCGGGGAGTTTCTTTTGCTTGTTTTGTGCCTTCATATCTAGAAGGAAGATATATCCATAACTTGTGTTTCAATTGAAAGTTAGTGCTGCCGGGTGCCGGTGGCTCATGCCTGTAATCCTAGCTATTTAGGAGGCTGAGATCTAAGGATTGTGGTTCAAAGCTAGCTTGGACAGAAAAGTTCATGAGACCCTTATCTTCAATAAACCAAAACCAGAAGTGGCACTGTGGCTCAACTGGTAGAATGATAGCCTTGAGCTGAAGAGCTGAGGGACAGCGCCCAAGCCCAGAGTTCAAGCCCCACAACCGGGGTGGGGTTGGTGGGCAGGGGAGTGGTGGAAAGCAAGCTAGTGTTGGCCTGTTCACAA